AGACTTGGGCCCTTTCATTTGACCACCCATGATTTTAGTCCCAAAACTCACCCATTTTTGGCCAAATATTATTATATTTTTATTATTCTTTTATGAATTTGTAATCTTTTATAATTTTATATAATTTTGTGTGTTTGTACATATTTTTAGGTGTGTTTATATAAATTGGCATAAATAATACATTTGTGATATTTTATAAAAAAATAAAAAAAGAAAAAGAAAAATAGAAAATAAAAAAAGAAAATATGATCAGAATGTTTTTTTTGTGGGTGGGATGATGATAATATAAAATAAAAAATGAAAAAAGAAATGTCATGGGGCGGTGGTGGAGAATTTGTTTAAAGTGAGAAAGAAAGAGTGAGTGGGGAGGTTCGTAAACAACTATATCTCTCTCTCTCATTTACATGATCTGGCGAGTAAGGTTCTTCTAAAAATTTTTTTTTTAAAGTTTTTTAGAGTGGTGTATTGTGTGGCTGAGATTTAATGACAAGTCATATCAATTTTTTAACATTAAATCTCAATCACACAATACACTACTTTAGAAATTTTTTTAAAAAAAAATACTCTAAAAGATCCTTGGTGTGATCTAAGTAGTTCTATATATTTTCTATTTTTCTTGGTGAGACAACAAAAATAAATAAAAAAGGTGGTGGAGGAGCATGATGGGGGAGAGTGGAAGGATAAAAAAAAAAACAGAGGAAGAGAACATTGTTTAAAAAACAAAATGCATATCAACACACTATATCATCACTCTCTCTCGGTGGTGGTTCGGAGGATAATGTTTTAGAGCAAAAAAGAAAGAATGAGTGGGAAGCTTTGTGGGAGTGTTGTATAAATAATATCAGCAATGTTAGGTATTATGAAAATTTTTTCATAAAAATAATTATAAAAATTTTGTAATCTTTGAATTATACTTAGAATAAAATACCACACACTAAATAAAATAATTCAAAAATCATAAATCTTTCATAATCATTTTGATAAATTTTTTTTCATAATTTCTAACTTTTCTCAAATATATATATATATCTTCTCTTTCGGGTAATGCTACGTATCATGAAATAAATATCATGAAAAACATCATGAAACTAATCCAAGGGTGAATGCATAACATACAATAAAACACTACAAACACTATAATCTAATCCAAAGGTAGAGAATCTTCATGAAAACTTTTCATGACATTGTTTTCATGATACCTAGCATTATTGCTTCTCTTTCTCTTCTGAAGAGGACAACCCATACACACAGACCACACACGGCACACATTGAGACATGCATTCAATGACTCTCTCTCTGGAGTCGAGAGGAGAACAGAGCTCTTTACTTGAGCCAAAAACACACACACACTGAGCTTCTTCCACACACAATACACACACACACACCACACACAGATACACAACACACACACAACACACACACACCAGGCACACATACACGACACACACCACGCACACAGCACACGCGGCATACATTGGGAGATGAATACATACACACATGCATCTGCTCTCGGGCTCTTTCACTCTCTCGGCAGTTTTGGGTTGGAGCTGAACACACACACGGCACACAACACACGCACAACACTCACCATGCATACCATACACACATACACCAAAAAAAGCTGACTCTCTCTCTCTCTCTCTCTCTCTTCATCACATGCAAGCAAATCTCTTCAAAACTGCCATGGACGCTGCTACAGACACTGTCACGCTGTGACCCAACCGCGACAAACCAGAGACCATCCTATCCCAGCTCCGCTTCCTGCAGACCACTGTTGCTGACCTGCTCCAACCAGCTCCGCCGCCATTCCATCATCGCCGACGCCGGAGGAGGAGGATATCGTGATAAGCGAGGTTCACTTGGGTTGTCCACCTAATTTATCTGGGCCACAAATCTCCCGTGTCATCTTCTCACTCCCACCTGTTGAGCCCGTGGATAGAAAATATATGGATGTTGTTAGAAATTGGGCGCCCATGTGGCATGACCCTTAGAACCTTTTGAACCTCATCCAAATGGGTTTTGAATTTGAATTCAAACCTATTTGGATAGCCACTCAGGATATATATCTATCATATCATGATAGCTTGGATAAAGATGGTGGATCCAAGCCGACTCTGTTTGTTAAGCTATACCTTTCGCCTATTGTTGTTCACTTGGGTGATCCACGGGTTGGTTATGACCAGTCATCCAACTTTAACCATGGTGGATACACTTCAACTAGCCATGTGTCCTCTGCCTTGATGGAAAAGACATCTGCTCCTTCTGCTATGAAGAGTTCACTCTTTCATCTGAATTTGGTCATGATAGGGAAGCAGTTGTAGAGTCCAGTGTTGAATCTAGCCCAGCTAAAATGCCACATAAAAAAAGCAACACTTTTGTCTGTGACAAAGTATGCTTCTATAATCCCAGAGAAGGTGGGGTCTCCATTGAAGATTTACATGGGTTGGATTGGAGTGAAGACATGGATCTTTTCTAGTTGCTGAATGGTTGGGGTTTAAAAATTTTATTTTTATTTTGAGGGTTTGTGAGGCTTTATTTTATTTTATTATTCCCTTCTCTCTCTTTCTCTCCCCCTCTCTTCCTTAGATTTGTAATATTTAAAGTATTATAATAATTCCTCACCCCGCTTCTTTCTATCTCATTCTTTAATCGCTTTCCCTAACTATACATATGTATATATCTGACATGCCATGTATATCCATGCTTTGCATTCATGTTTCATGCATTAGGATTCGGCTAAGTTTGCATTTGTGGATTTCATCAATCCCATGGTTTTGTGCGCTATCACGTGTTTTGCAATGTTTCACATGTCATATCTTAAAAGTCGAATCTTTACCTGCATCTCGTGAGTGAATTGCATTAGGAATTTTGTATATAGGATCATGCATATTTTACTAACTTTGTTTTGTAGCTTGTTCACGGGACGTCGGTCAATCTGTGAGTTTTTATGCTTTAGCATCTCATTTGTGTGTGTTTTTTTTACTATGTTTAACATCCTTCCGTGAGGCTAATTGCTTAACTGGTAAACTGCTTGAATGCCTGTGGATGAAGGCTTGTTACTTGAATTGGAATGATTCAACGAATATACATTTTAAGCCCACTTTATAGTGGCAAATTCACAAATTTTAAGCCCACTTTGTCAAGTGGTAAATTCAAACCCCTTTCGACAAACAAACATACATGAAATTGAATTGTTCCAATTTGAGCAAACTAGGCTATACTTGTATGCTTCACATAGTAAATTTTAAAATTTACTAAATAATCAGAATATGAACATATAAAGAAAATAAAATTCATATCATGGTTTAGTAAAGGCCGATCTTTGATCGGGTGAGCAGGGGTGCTCATTATTGACCTTTCCCTCTCATACTTAAGGTTTCGAGCCAAGCATCCTTGGTTACGACGAACAGTGGCCTTGGCACGAGTCATGGGTTTCCTAATTTCTTAAAAATATTATGTGGCGACTCTGAGATCTGATGACGCAGTCCATTTTTGACAAAATTGTAATAAAATGGATTTTCAATAAAAGTTGCCAAATCTGGACTCTCCTCTACGTTTCACATTGCACTCGTGAGACTAGATCAAAGAGATCTCGAGGGTTCGAACTGTTTAATGCTCGCGGGTACCCCCGGGCATGTTACACTATTTTAGATAGCTGACGATGTTCTGCATGATGGGGCTCTCCCCGAGCTTCCTCCAGTAGATTTCGAGGTGAACTTTGAGGCCGAGCCGGAGCCATTACCGCCAAGCATAAGCCCCTTCGATTCAGCGAGGTAGCATCCTCAGACATACATAGTACCCACCGCAGGAGGCATCAAATTATTTATTGACTTTGCTGAGGACGTGCCAGAGGACCTCCTACTGAGAAAGCCAGCGTCTCATTTGTCAGCCATCGCCGTAGAGGTACAAACACTGTTTTTCTACAGTACTACCCTTAACTGTTTGCATTTCTTGCACTGTTCTGATCTAATTGCATCACATGCACTGCCTTGATCTAACTATACAATCATCACTGCTTTATATCTGACTGTACTTTTCATTGCCTGATCTGATTGCATCTCATGCATTACTGCTTTATATTTGACTGTACTTTTCGTTGCCTGATCTGATTGTATCTCATACATTATCACAGGATGGGTCTCGCGCCTTTAGAAGCTATGGCACGACAACCGCTCGAGATTGGTACGGTGAGCTCCTAGCTGGAGTTCGCGACGTCATTAATGAGATAAGCTTCAGTATATTCTGCTCCAGCCTGACTCAGGTCGTAGCGAGCTGTCCTCTCTTAGAAGCCCTGGTGGAGAGGTGGTGGGACACCACCAACTCCTTCCATTTCTCTACCACGGGGGAGATGATGATGACCCCTTACAACTTTGCCATGATCACTGGCTTAGGTGTAGAGGGTGATCCGATCCCTCTGGACCCTGATATGGGGGAGTGAGAGGCAGCATAGGTCGCATTGCTTGGGGCACATCCACCGACACTTCGGGCAGGCATGGTTCGGTAGAGCTTGTTTGAGGAGCAGTTCAAGAGGACTGAGCCCAAGACGGTTGAGGAGACAGAGCAGTACGCTAGAGGCTTCCTCATGTTCATTTTCAGTACCACCTTGTTTTCGAACAGGTGGAATACCGTGGGCCTGTATTTGCTGAGCACCTTGGTAGTACTCCATCGAGTTCAGTTCTATGATTAAGGTAGAGCCAGCCTTACCACTTTACACGGATATATGAGCTCGACTTCCCGCAGGAGTGGGAGCATGATTGGAGGCTACTGGCAGGCTTGGGAGGTATACAGCTTAGTCTCTCCTTTTTACTTTACTTTTCTGCTCAGCATTTCTTGCTTTACATTTGCTCAACACATGTACTTTATGCTCTATATTTTTTATATTTGTTCATACACTGTATGCTTTCTGCTTTGCATTTTCTATATCTGCTTTGCATTTTCTATATCTACTCATACACTGTATTGATCGCAAATCGTCGCACTTTCCATGCAGCTATGGGTGTATGCGTAGTTTCTGGCTCTCGCTCCAGAGCTTGTGGAGGAGGTTCTAGCGACAGTCCTATTTTCTCGGGTATACGACGGCCAGCTCCGCCGTGGGACCTGGGAAAGCTTCATGTTTTTCCGCCAGTACTTTGATGTGGTCACGGCACATGAGGTAACCCAAGACAAAGTCCTCTCACTTTCCATGCACTTTAATCCACATATTAACAGCTGATAGCAACTAATACTCTGTTTACTTTCTATTTCAGATCACATGGCAGCCTTGGGCCATGATACCATCAGGGCTCCGAGCCCAATATGGTACAGCTCGGGTCATCACCCGGCATCACATTCTTCTCAAGGGCCCGATTTGTCACGCCTGGTTCTTGAGTGAGCGCTTCGCGCGCTAGACTTTGGGCTTGCCTGCCCCATTCATATCGATGGCACCTCCAGCATCCATAAGAGCGACACACAGACTCTCTGCCGACGAGGTGATTCAGTTCATGGTAGTGCTGGAGGCAGAGTATTTCCGTATGGAGGGCGATTATGCGACCTTCATCCAGACACACCTGATGCCGCCTCTGACCGGCGTTCATGAAGACAAGGGAGTGAGAGCTCCGGCCGTAAGGGTGACACGTAGAGCGAGTCGGGCGAGCACAGCCCGTGGCAGAGGGACTCCTCGGGCAGAGCGGAGGGCTGGTTGGCCGGAGTTTCTGACCGAGCTAACTGGTTGGCGGTACTCCAGAGAGGCTTATCAGATCCCCATCAAGCCTCCGCTGGCTGGTCACAGATACGTTAGGGCGCTTGATGCACCTCCGGTACGCACTTCAATTTTCATTCTTTCTTAGATACTCAGACATTCATTCATTCCAGACACTGATCATTTCAAATTGCATTTACAGGCCTCCACAGAGTACGTTGAGGGGTTACTTGAGATGTTGGCCTCATTAGAGGGCATGATCTTGAGGAGGGAGTCGATACTCAGCTTCCATGGCATTGAGGTAAAAATTTTCAGTTTTCTTGCATTTCGGTCATCAAATCTATGCTGATATATTGAAACTGGCATTTCAACTGAACATTTCTTCACCCTACACTGATACACTGCATGTATAGATCACACCTGACACACTACATTCTCGTATTGCATTCATACTCTGCATGTACCTATTCTGCACACCACTCTTGCATCTAACATACATACTGTGTCTGACATATACCAACTGCCTTTTTAGGTCCCACCTTTACCGACAGCAGTAGCAACAGCCGCAGTAAGACCTTCAGTACCTTCTCCAGCAGCAGGGAGGGGAGGGAGGTAAGCTCCATCACATAGCCGAGGCAGAGCTGGACCCACCCGAGCTGAAAGTGGCCCTTCAGAGCCTATCCTGGGTGACGATGATGATGAGACAGGTGAGGATAAGGAGGCCGCGAGTCTATAGTCAGAGTCATCTAAGGATGGAGACGACGACGCCGGCTCAAATTCTGCTAGTGGTGAGGCTGTGGAGGCTAAGGAGGGCTCTGATTCAGACTCTGATTCAAATTCGGACAGTGGTGCCGATGGAGACAGTGCTTTAGAATCCGCTCCACCCAGGAAAAGGACGAAGAGGACCTCTCGAGCCTGAGACAGCTGACACTGAACTTTCTATATTTTGACTAGTTTCTTTTTGCTAGTAGTATTGGCACTTTGTACAACTCAGACGAGTTTTTATTTCTATAAAAACATGTACTCTTTTGCAAAAAGTGACCATGATCGGAATGAAAATAGCTTTTGATGAAAAAAGTGTTATATTTTGCATTCTGAGCATCAATAACATCGCACAGCATAAAAAGAAATGAGATTGGCCTTGATTGAAAATTTGCACATTCCATTAGCATTGTCTTAATTAGGTAATGAACCGACCAACAACTAAAAAGACAAACAGAGTAAAACAACTCGATAAACAAAACAATAGCTCGACAATCAATGCAAATACAACTCGATAAGCAAAACAAGGACTTGATAAACAACACAAATACAACTCGATAAGCAAAACTAGACGAATACAACTCAAATAAACATGCTCAAGCCTAAAGGGACTCAAAACAAGACCTCAAAAGACGCGAATAGCAAAATACAACTGCTGCATGCAACTGGATCTTCACAAAGGAGGACGGTGGGCATAAAATAGGAGGCTGCCAGCTATGAAGGATGGCCTGCCAGCCATCTACTCCCTCTACCGGCCATCAATGTGCCCCTGCTAGCCATTGATGAGCAGAACCTCCAAAATGTTGACCCCTGGCCTCCACTCACTGCCTTATCTTCTACTAAAGCTCCAACTTAGTGATTTCTTCATTCCAGCTTTGTTTTTGCCACAAATGGAGCCATTCTTTGCCCAAAAACTCTCAAATTGGATTACAGCTTTAGATGGCTCGAAAAAACTGAATTTTTGAGGTTTCAGGATAAATGCACTATTCCCACTAAGTCGTACCCCGCTGTGTTTTCCATTCCTCTATGCCGCGGCTAGATGTTGGAATTCGGTCACATATGTTTTTAGCTTTGGGGGACAAGAGATATGTTCGACAATTGAAGAGTTCCAAGTTTTTATGGAATCCCGACGTGATGAGGAAATCTTGCCCCAGTCCCATTTTGGTCACATCCCAGCTCTTGGAAGAATGTGTGGGCTCACTTTACACGATGCTCGATCTTTGGTTCACAACGGGGAATTGGATATTCCCAGTTTGATTCATCGATTTTCTGACGCCAGCGACCGCGGTGACCGTCTTTGGCAAGGCTTTCGGCAACATGCCTTTTGCTTGTGCATGTTGGCCCATTTCCTGCTTGCCCCTGGCTTCAGAGGGTCTACCATTCGCTTGATCGAAGTAACCCAAGGCTTGAAAGAGGGCAAGAGCTGCATTGGCTTAACACTACCCGAGACTTTGATGGGCTTGGATGCTTTCCACCGGCAAGAAACAACCAAATTCGCAGGAAGTCTACTACTCATGCAGGTAATGTTTCCCATCCTACCTCACGTGTGTTTCTCACATCACTTGGCCCTCAGGCTCTGTTTTTCTCTCTAAAACCCTTTTCTCACTTTTTCTCTCCGCATACACCTCTCTATTCTTTAATCTCTTTTATTTTTCGTCCCTCCCCAGATATGGCTCATGGACAGGTTGAAAGTAGTGGACTCTTACCCTGCATATTCAGCACGAGGCCATTTCTTTTGCCAATGGCTAGTTGATTTCCCAAACGAGGGGTGGTGGTGCCATTGGATGTGCAACAGGTCTGCTGTTGACATTGCTTGGCGTTGCCCCTACTTTGATTTGCCCGAGATGAGCTACAGCATGTCTCGACAACCTAGCATTCAGTTGATTGGCTTGATACACTATATCTTCTACTTTCCATTCCAATTCAGGTGTCAGTTCCGACACGACCAGACTTGCCCAAAAGAGGGGGTAGAGTACCTGGCTTCATTTCCAATCCGAGGTTCACAACTTGCTCAATATCCCACTGCTTGGAGGACAAGAGAACTTCTGGCTCCCGCTCCCAATTTCAGTTACGCCCTTTCTAGCGAATGCATAGCTTGGATTGAAGATGAGGCGCAAACTGGACCTACTTTAACATCTGAAGCTTCCACAAGCTCTAGGACCACAAGAACACCTGACTCACCTGCGCCCCAAGTTTAATGCTTTGATTCTAACTTTCAAGTTTTCCTTTTGAATGTAATAAAAAACAACTTTAATTTTATCGAGAATTGGAGAACTTTGTATTGAAATCAATGAAATTGAAGGTTGTGGGCACTGAAAATTTTTCTTTTGGTCCAAAAATGGTCTAAGTTGTAAAAAGATTAATTTGAACAAAATTAACTTTTATTAAAACTTTTCAAAACCATTTTCGATAAGGATCACAACTAGAGACACCCGGAATCTATCCTTGAGATGTATAACCCTGAATCCAGCAAACGGAAAGTTGCCCACTGTATTGTAACTAGCTCTCATAGTGAAGATCACAACCGAACACTTGGATGCGAAAAAGACAAAGATGACCAAAACAATCTCATGGACACAATTGATTTGGAAGTGTTTATGGCTGGACTTCAGAATGAAGTTGCCTACGTATCCCAAAGATGGGAATCAAGCCTTACGTAGTTCGGTTCGGGTTCACTCGGGTATTAACACTCTCCTTTTGCCAAGGCCGCCCTTTTTTGGGTTTTCAACCTTACGAGCTCAGTTTTTCTTTTTTCTAATTTTTCGTGCTCTAACTTTTGCCTAGGTCACCTTTTCGAGTTTTCGGCCTAGCGAGCCACTCAATGGTAGTATTTCTTCAACTTGTCCATATTGATTGGTTGGGAGAATTTAAGGCCATCTACGTCCATAAGAATGACAGCTCCACCCGACCAAATAGATTTGATGATGTAAGGACCAGTCCAATTAAGTCTGAACTGATCCCTAGGGTTATGGATGGGAGCTCGGTTGTCTTTGAGCAAAAAATCCCCTTCTTTTAGATTCCTGGACTTAACTTTCTTGTTGAAAGCCCTGGCAATTCTAAGTTGATAACTTTGGACGTGGTAGAGTGCTTTCAGCCTCCTCTCATCGAACAACATTAGTTCCTCAAACCTGCTCTGCTACCAATCTGCTTTTGCTATCTGGCACTTAGCCATAACCCGCAGCGATGGAACTTCAACTTCAATCGGCAGAACAGCCTCCATCCCATAAACCAGAGAATACGGAGTTGCCCCAGTAGATGTCCGAATTAATGTCCTGTAGCCCTAAAGAGCAAATGGCAACTTGTCTGGCCAGTCCTTATAGGTTTCCACCATCTTCTGTAGAATGTGTTTGATGTTCTTGTTGGCGGCCTCAACAGCTCCATTGGTTTGCGGCCGATATGTGGATGACTTATGAAAAGTCATGTTGTATTTCTCCAACAAGTCGATCACTTCTTTCTTGAAGTGTGAACCATTGTCTAAGATGATCTCATTCGGGACTCCATAATGACAGATGATATTATTCCTGATGAACTTGGCTACGTGTGGCGCTTTCAGCACTGCGTAGGATTGGGCCTCGACCCACTTTGTAAAATAGTCTATTGCCACCAGGATGTACTCATGCCCATTTGACCCCTTCGGAGTAACTGCCTGTGGGAACCGAATAATATTATTACGTAGGGAAGCTAATTTAGTTTAAAGAAAGAAATCAAGTTATGTACTATACGGCTCTATCTTGAAGGAACACAGAGGCCGAATAACCAGATCGGCTGTAGAATCAGCTGTAAACTGGGCCGAGTATGAATAGGTAGGACAGAATAGTCGAGTAAGCAATTATTCGTTGGTCGAAAGGTAGGCCCAACCATCAATATCAAGGACGACTATAAATAAGAGGAGCATCAACTAAGAAAAGGTATGTGAGAACAAATTAGATTAACTTGAGATACAAGCAACCAAGAGAGTATACACTGACTTATCCGTCAGAGTGCTAATTCTGGCACCCCCGACCGGAGTGTTCATTCCTTTTCAGGTGATTAGCTGAGGATCAAGAGTGTCCTACAGGATCCATAGAGTATTTCCAAACCACATCTCCACAATTGGCGCCATCTGTGAGAATACTCAAGTACATCCATGGCGGGCGTGACAGAAGATCCTCCGGTAGTCGCTGACGACCTTACGCCACGAGATGATACCACTCCAAGAAACATGCTTGGGCCAGAGAACATTGCTGCACGAAGGGCCTTGAACTTCGACTCAATTGCCCAGACCTCACCTTCGACAACAGTACACGAGACGATGCAAGCGATTATGGATCAGGCGAAGCAAAAAGAACAGAGGTTGGAAAACATGATGGTTGAGAACGAGCGCCTTCGACAGGATTTGGCCCTGGAGGTGGCAAAATCCCAACAGGCCGCGTGCCAAGATTGGGGACGACCTTTGGAAAAGAATGGTCGACGACCTCGAATTCGGAGACGTGATAGTGGCAGTGATTCTGACTCATCATCCCCAGAATCCAAAAAGAAAGGACGAGTCGAAGTCTCCAATTCTTTCGGAGGACGTCCGCGTGCGCGGAATAAGCGAAGAAATGATTTAGACGAAGAGGATCAACATGACCCCTTTGTGTGACGGATCGCAAGCGCAGTACCACCCAAAAAGTTCAAAGCGTCATCATTCACCCTGTATGATGGAAAATCGAACCCCACCAATCACATTTGTCATTAAAAACAAGCCATAACGCTTCATGCAGACAACGGGGCTCTCATGTGTCGAATATTTCTGAGCAGTTTGGGACCACTGGCCGTCAGATGGTATTATAAATTGAAACTGGCATCGATTAAGAGCTTTCACCAACTCCAAAAATCCTTCAGGGCAAGGTTCATCACCAATGAGGTCTAGCCGAAGCAAGCCGATTCTCTCTGGGCAATGCAAATTCAACCAGGAGAAACCCTTCGTGCATATTCGGCGCGCTATTGGGAATGCTTTAATCTAGTAGATGATGCCTGCAATGACTCCATGACCATCACTGCCTTGAAGATGGGATTACATCTTGATAGTGCCCTCCACAGCTCCTTGACCAGACGGCCCCCAAAAACAGCCTGGTCGTTAATGAAGAAAGTCGAGGAATACTGCGAAGTAGAAGATGATGCCCTGCGGGTTAAAGCCGGGCACAAAGCCAATAAGATGGCCTCGTCTGAAATCGTGCAGCCGATAAACGCTGTACCACCACGGAGCCCTGAATCACGAAATCGGGCTAAACGAGACAAAAGACGGGATT